TCAGCAGGAGGGTTGGACTGGGTGACCCACAGAGGTCCCTTCCAACCCCTACTATTCTGTGATTCTGTGATTCTGGCGCACGTTGCGGTGCTGGTTTGGTAACACACGACGCCGGCCGCCGTGCGCTGGCACGGGGATCGGTTCTGCTGCGTAACTTTGCGTGTGCTCAATCCTGTGCTCTGCCGGGGGTGAGCGCAGATATCCTTAAGCACAGGAGGAGGAATTAACAGTCTCTATTTCTGTATGCAGTCAGCCGCCCCCTCCCCAGTTAATGGTAGGTGTGACACCAGTGCTGGGGACGTTGAGGAGCAACCAGCTGTTGGGCCGGGGGGCTCTGGGCCCGGAGGTGACGGGCGCTGCGGAGCCAGAGCCGTTCCCGTCTCGCGTAGGGGGGGCCGGATGGAGTCACACAAGCGTTGCACGTCGCTGGCCTCACCCGTTAAAGGTCCTGCGGGGTGACACGCGGGCTCTTTCGCACCCTGCTGAGCCGCGTGATGGAGCGCGAGAGAGAATTTGTGCATGAACTGGGCGCGTCTGATGCTGAAGCCTTGACGGGCAGATTTGAAGTTGGGTGTATGTGTGTTTTGGAGAAAAACTCACAGAATCAAATTGATAAGAAACAGCAATTCCACAAGCTACTTCATCGGTTAATTTACAAGTCGAATGCCACCCAAATTGGCTGTTGTATAGTAATTTGCCTCTGAAAAGGTGACTTGATTTAGAATATGGGAAGCAGGTCCCTTGAGGGGAATCCATGTTGTTGGAGAGTGTTTTTGTGAAATAGCCAAGTGTCTGTAGCTACAGTGATCACATAATATTTAGTCAGCAACAAACAGGAGTGCGTTTCACTGCTTTTGAGAATGTCCGTGGTCTGTACCTACTGACTTTGATCAAGCTCAATATCTTAATTTTTGTAGTGAAAAAGCTGTGAAGAAACTAGCTGCCCTTCCAGTCCCTCCGCCACTCACTAAAATTACACCAGCGGCACCGGAGCCAGCCAAACCCGGGGATAATCGAGAGGCGAGAAGGAAGGAACGTCAGACAAGGACTCCACCCCGGAGGTAAGAAAGCTGTGGGGTGGAGCGAGGCTTCATCTCGTGGAAAACGGAGCAAATCCTGGGTTTCTCTCAGAATGACCAACTGCGAGGGCTCTTCAGTATGAAGGGAGAAATCTGTTTCCCGGGGCGGGAAAGAAATGGGAGGAGAGAGGGAAGGAGCTGGGGTGAGTGCTAGTGACTTGCCATAGCAAGTGGCTCCTGTTTCTGAAGGCTGTTTGGGGGATGAAGTAGGTGGAATATGTGAAAAGTGCCAAAAGGCAGGGTCTTCAGTGGAGAAAAAATAAAATAAAATAGAAGCATGTTTGAGAGCCGCTGGTTGCGGAGGCCGCGCAGCAGGGAAGCGAAGGGGTGTTCGGTGCAGAGAGGAGATCTGATGGAGGGTCGAGGTTTGTGGTGATGGGTTTGCACCCTGGGTACGTGCCAGCGTGCAGGGAGTGTTGTCCTCTGCGTGGTCCCCGGAGTCGGTTTGCCAGCCTCCAGCAGTGCCGCTGGGGGAGAGGAGGAAAAGCTCCGCTGCTTTCGCTGTCCCCAGTACACAGCTTGCTGGCTCCCCTGCTCCACCTTCTCTTCCTGGCTTCCTCCTGTGGGACGAGTGTGAATGTTTGGAGTGTTTTCTGTCTGTCTTCTAAGTGTTTTTGTTGCCTCTTTCTCCTCCCTTTGCCTTTGAAATGAGAGCCTGCTGATTGTTTTCAAACAAGGAGCGCTTGTCTATTTAAATATGTTTGTCAGGCTTAATCCACCGTACTGCATTTAAAAATGCTACAGGAAAAATGCGGGTAGCATTGCCTGTTCTTGGAGGGAAGAACAGCTGAAATTCATCATACATCCTTCTGACGTTAGAAGTTTTGAAATGGCCGTACAGTGCCCATGTGCCTAGTCTGTGGAAGGAATAATTTGGGGCGTAAGAAATGTATTTACTAGAAATGTCTGGTTTACGAGCACCCGAGGAGACTGAGGATGTTGTATGCCTGCAGTGAGGCCTATCTGGTTTTCTTGGATCACTGGATGATGGGTTTGGTCAGTGCGTTTTGAAGATGGCTGCAAGTCTGTTTTGTGTTCGGGGTTTCAGAAGCATCCCGGGTCGATTCTTCATTTTGTGCGTGGGGTTACATCTCCTGTTTCTTCCCAGTAGCTAAAGAAAAGGCCTGGGCCGAGCAGTTACGTCTCCATACGTGAGAACTGATCGGGACAGATTCTTCTCCCTAGAAACTCTGTCAGTTCTAGTTTCCTTTTCACTTGCTTTAACTAGTTAATAATAATCTTGGATGTCTTTAGTCACCTTCCCTTAGTCTATATTCTAGTCTTGGGGTTGGTTTTTTCATGCTTATACCCACACGAGCCCCACTGCCCTACTCTCCCTGCGGTGCAAACGACAAAAACAGCTCAATTTATGTTAGAGCTAGTCACAAAAAATGTGTGTGATTGTTTGTATAGCCTGAAATACAAGGTAGTCCCACTGTGTTACACAGTTAGCAATTTTTCTTGGTAGGAAGCATTGGCTCCTGGTATCAGTGCAGGATTACTGGAGAGAGTCCAGCGGGGGGCTACGAGGATGGTGAGGGGACTGGAGCATCTCCCCTACGAGGAGAGGTTGAGGGAACTGGGCTTGTTCAGCCTGAAGAAGAGAAGGCTGCGAGGGGACCTTATAAATGCCTACAAATATCTGAAGGGTGGGTGTCAGGAGGATGGGGCCAAGCTCTTTTCAGTGGTGCCCAGTGACAGGACAAGGGGCAATGGGCACAAACTGAAGCACAGGAAGTTCCGTCTGAACATGAGGAAGAACTTCTTCCCTCTGAGGGTGACGGAGCACTGGAACAGGCTGCCCAGGGAGGTTGTGGAGTCTCCTTCTCTGGAGATATTCAAGACCCACCTGGACAAGATCCTGTGCAGCCTACTGTAGGTGACCCTGCTTCGGCAGGGGGGTTGGACTAGATGACCCACAGAGGTCCCTTCCACCCCCTACTATTCTGTGATTCTGTGATTCTGTGATTCTGTGATTATGGTGCTTTGGCTCATCTTTTCCCAGCTCTCGTTAGCATTATTGAGTCTTGCATAAAATATCCGTTGTTCAGAAAATGGATGCTTCCCGGGGACTGGGAGCGCAAGGTTGAGAAGAACATCTGAAACGGTTACATTTGCAGAGCACCCTTCTTCTGTATGGTACGGGACAACAGCGTCGTGCTCAAACGGTCCTCAAACAGTTTCTTGAAACGCCGTTGCGCGGCGGAGCGCAGCGAGGTGAGGGGGTCGTTCGCTGTCTTGCAGTGGGGGCCAGCGGCGGCGCCAGCGCCAGCAGCTACAGCGGTTCCAGTTCCCGCTCTAGGTCCTTGTCTCGCTCCCTCTCCAGATCTCATTCCAGATCATCGTCTGCCTCGGTCTCCCACTCCCCATCTGGGTCCAGGAAATCCAGGTACATCCTCAATTCCTTTATAAAGTTTATTGAAGTAGGAGATTATAACTGTTCTTAACTGTTGTGGTTTCTTGCAGCGAAAACTCTCTAGCTTCGAGCATCAGAAGCTGTAGGTAACTAGGATGTGAAGCAGGATTGTTTCTTCGGGTGGTGTTACGAGTCTCGAGTCCGGAATCAGGACAGGAGTACGACATTGGTAGCGTCCTTTTCAGCTTGTTCAAGAAAATAGTCTGCCACGGGTGCCAAAACTGCCCATTTTTTGTAGCCCTCCCAAAGGAGCTCGGGTGGCTCTGCTCGCTGCTTTTAAAGGTTTGTGGAAAACAGGGAAACACAGGAAAAACGGTGTGTAGCCAAGCCAGATTTGCTGTCACAACCTTGTAGCCAGGAGCTTTCCTGGAGAAGGACTTTCTGGCTCGCACGGGCACCGTTGC